GGAGCGGCCACTGCACTCCAGTCTGGGTGACAGTGAGACTCCACCTCAAAAAAAAAAAAAGAATTTTAGTGAAATTTTAAAAGAAGACCCTGAAACTTGGTCATGTGTATCTTTAATTTACCTTGTTGTCATTACTGTCTTTGCAACTATCTGCAAATGAGCACCTGTTGAAAACATTATGTAACAAGGACCTCTTAATACATAGAGTTCTGAGGTTCATGCTGAGTGAGACAAGCTACATGCCTACTTTAAAAAAAAAAAAAGACAAGGCTGAGAACAGGATATAAAATGTACTCATTTTTCCTTACTTTCTCTCTTCCTATCTAAATAAACTATTCCTTTTCTTTTTTCTTTTTTCTTTTTTTTTTTTGTCCAATCTGAGGAGAACATGCAGTAGAGCAAAGGTCATATGTCTGGGGCTCCAATAATTCACTGAGACTATTAACTGACTGAAAATACTCCTCCTTTGACTCCCCTCAGGCAGTGCCCTCAGCAGGGATGGAGCCACTGATCACTAGTGCTTCAGGGGGGACTGGGGGTTGCAACCTCTATGCAACAAATACTCTTCAACACAAATCTTTGTGTTAAAAGGTTATTTTCCTTGGACAGATTCTTAGAAGTGAAATGACAAAACCTAGGAGTATGAACCTGTTTAAGGCCCTTGATATGTGTTTCCAAATTGCTTTGCAGATATATATGTATGTGTGTATTTTAACACTAGGAATATGTGAACCATTCCATTTTATTATATCGCCTTAATTCTACATTTAGAGCTTATTTTTTACTAATAAGAAGCCTCTTCTAAATATAAAATGTTTCTAAAATTTTTCATTTATATTTTCATAGAGGTAATAGTCTGATTGTTTTACAGCTAATAGCTACATGAAATAAGTGACAATATATTGAAGGAAAAATATAATCTACAGTGGGGGGAAGACTCCCCAGAGAAGAGAGAGAGAACCAAACAGAGGAAAATATTGTCTGCAGTGCAGAAATGTCCAAAATCTGCCTCGAGGTGACCACAAAAGGGAAAATGTGGGCATTCAGAAACACTAATTGAGCGCCTACCTCAAGTATGTCAGTTCCTTGGCAGCCCAGAATCACAAGGATGCACAAAGCACAGCCCCTGCCCTAGAATCCATGGGCTTCACGCCTTCTTCCTAAACTTCATAGCACCTTCCTCAGATCACCCAAAAACAATAGCGCCACCTTACATCTCTGGAACTAATGTACCCACCCTACAATCTAGATTGCCATCTTATAACCAGGAAGTAAGAACAGTGCCCTCTGATTGGCAAAAAGCAAAAAGAAAGAAAGAAAAGAAAAGAAAAGACACCGAGTCCAGGCATAGAATCCCCTGTCCTATCATCACAACAGAACCCTTAGTCTCACTCAGTTCTCATTTACTCTTAATAATCACACCGTTCCACTGAGCTCATCGACCCAATTTCTAAGACGAGAAGCAGCGCATTAGAAGAGAGAAGAGGACCCGGGCTCCGTAGCTCAGCTTGTAATCCCGCACCTTTGGGAGGCCGAGGTGAGTGGATTGCTTGAGCCCGTGGGTTCGAGACCTGCCTGGGCAGGTGAGACCTCATCTCTACAATAAATAAAAAATGAGCCGGGTGTGGTAGCGCGCGCCTGTAGTTCCAGCTACGTGGAAGGCTGAGGAGGAAGGATCTCCAGAGCCCAGGAGGTTGAGGTTGCGGTGGCCAGGAGTGTGCCACTGCACTCCAGTCTGGGCAACAGAGTGAGATTCCAACTCCCCCCGCCCCCCAAAAAAGGACGGTAACTGGAAAAACTGAGAAAAGGCTAAACAAAAAAAATCAAAAGACAGCATCCTGTGGCAAATTTTCTGATTTAAAAAGGCATGCGGCATATAATACATTGTAGGAAAATTTCCCTTTAAAACATTTAATAGTCAGTGCATTCTTTGGAACTCTTGGAATTGGGTTAATGGTTGTATCTCAGAAGTCTTTATGAAATCAGGATATGAAATAAGCCAAAGAATTGTGCCATTCAAGCCTACTTCATTCAGTCAAGCTGCTGGGAACTTTCCTTGCTCTTCATCAGAAGATTCCACGAAAAATGACAACATGAGAACCAGCAAATATGTTTAGGATATTGAAATCCAGTGGAGGAATTGTATAAAAACTATCCATTTCATGTTTCACTAGAAGGTCCTGCAGAAAAAAGAGGAACTCTTTTCTGTTCACTCCAGAACAGTTACATAAACTACAGACTACACCTCCATGCCAACACTCATGTCAAAACCCCTCCCCTGGTCTGTTGCTGCAGCATTCCAGATTTACCCTATATGGTAGTTTTCTACTGCTGCTGCTATAAATTACCATAAATTAGTGACTTAAAACAACAGAAATTTATTACCTTACAGGTCAGAATCTTAAACAGGTTTTCACTGGGCAAAAAGTGTCAGCAGGACCATGCCCCACCAGGAGGTTCTTTAAAGTAAAATTTAAAAAAAATAAAAACATTCATAAAGCTGTCAAAAAATTAAATTAAATTAAATTAAATTGATCACAGCATTGTAGCCCACAACAAATGAAGACCAAATGGATTAAAATGCTAAGTGTCAAAAATAAAGCCACAAAGCAACTAGAATGAAATAATGGTAAAACAAGGATAAAAAAAGAATAACATCCCTGCTTTAAGAAGGACATGCAGAAGTAGATTCATTTCCAGCCTAACATCCAAGCTCCTCCTCAGGCCCTGGGCCCATTTTCATGTCTCTTTGTTTCTCCCAGCTTCCTCCCACCCTAGGCAAGAAGCTCACCAGGTGATGCCCTTCCCCAGTTGGTACCCGGGGGTGTTCTGCCTGTGAGGCTCTTGAAAGCCACTACCAAATGGGGTCTGGTACTTGGAGCCCTGCTTGGGTTGACATCACAGAGCAGTTTACTCACAGAAGCTTTTCAGCTCTCCAAACCTCAACTAGGAGGAAAAGTGGGAAGAAGGTCATCAGCAAAAATTAGAGAAAAATTGCTCTCAAGCATCCTTAGTTGAATGTCCATAGTAGCCATCTACTCAACATTGTTCAAGATTGTCTTATCTAATGACAATCAACGGGTTAGGATTCTAGAATATCTAGAAATTGCTTTCTAAAACATGGACACAGGCCAGGTGCAATAGTTTACACCTGTGATCCTAGCACTTTGGGAAGCTGAGGTGGGAGGATTGCTTGAGCCCCAGAGTTCAAGACCAGCCAAAAAAATCTGGGCGTGGTGGCACACACCTGTAGTCCCAGCTACTCAGGAGGCTGAGGCAGAAGAATTGCCTGAACCTAGGAGGTCGAGGGTGTGGTCAACCATGATCATGCCACTGCACTCCAGCCTGGGCTACAGAGACCCCAAGTCAAAATTAAAATTAAAATTAAAAACTAAAACTTGGGCATAGACAATGTTATCCCTAAAGATTAAGATGTCTTTTCTCACACTTAGACTTTCAGATTCACACTGCCCCTTCCAGTGTGGTAGCTCTCTCTTCTACACATCAAATGAAAACACCCAGAAAATATTTCATGATGCAGACAGAATATAGACTTATGCTTCCATTTGTCTGAAGGCCGAATGGCCTCAGATAATCTGTCTAGGATCTCTTTGCAGATATTTGCAAATGATTTTGGTCCAGCCTAAGTACTACACTTTTAAACACTGCTATTCTGAGACCTCCAGAGAAGTTGTAATCTTGTGAGGGAGTAAGAACCACTCAGAAGAACCACCATGGGGAACACCTCAGCCCACCCACCCACTGGAGCCAAATCCCAAAGAGGGGCGGTGAAGTGTCTGCCTTTTGATCCTTCTGCACCACAGTCCCCTGAGGCACTCTGTTTACAGAAGAAAAGACTCACCCTCAATACAATTCAAGTCATCTGCACAAACCTTGGTTTCCCCAGAGACCATTGGAATGTGCCCCAAGGCCTGTGGCATCAGCTTTACCTTTTGTACATTTTCTGATCACAAAAAAAAGCAGCAAGAGCTTTGTCACCCCCAAGTTTTATCCACCAGGAATTGATCCTGCCTGAGACTCTGTCCTGTCTCTCCACAGCTGTAGTGTCACTCGGATGTGTCTCTTAGCCTCTCTGGACTTCAGTTTTCTCATCTCTAAAATGATGGACTTAGAGCACATGACCTCTAAATCTTCACAATTAGTATCTTTGTGGCTTCACTCTTCAAAAGTAATGTCCAAAGCTGTTTCAGAAAATGCTATGAAGCAGCATTAAAGACCTCCTGCCTCCTGCAAATGTTATCTTAACGGATCTTAAAGTTTTGCCTATATACTGAAAATTCAACACTAATACAAAGTCATTGAGAAAGGACCATCTAAGAAAACGTCTATGATCCACAAAAGATGTTTTTTTCCATGTCTCTACTTTGCTTGTCCTGACCGAGAACATCTGAGCCTCTCCAAGAATAGTTAGAAGAATATGCATTTCCAGGACAAAGTCCTCGAGGTAGGTAACCATACCTGACCCAACTGGGGTACATGTTACAAAACCCAAGGTGAAAGGCATATTGATAAGTTTCAGAGCCCAGAAAAGAGATATTTTGTTCCTTTTAGCTTTGACAACATGCATGATATCCCAAGGAATTTCCTGAATTTTTCCATAAGACTGAATTGGATCCAGAACACCACTTTTGGTTCTGGGGAGCATGCTTTGCAGAAGCAGTGTAGTCCTTTGGAATTCTCTTTATCTAGTTGAAATATAGACATGTTTAATTCTTCTGATGATGGTTTCAGATAACAATTCCATGGTCTTTTAAACTGGAGTGGAGGACTTGGTGATGAAGTGTATAGCTGTCCAAGGAAGGGCAAGGGCTGTTTCATCCTTTAAATGGAGGTTTTCAAAACAGATTTGTTTCTCACTTCTCAACTGCAATTAATGCCACATTTAAGAAAGCTTAAAATGCCACCTTTTGTTATAAATTATGTACCAGTTGGACATAATTGTGACTTTGGCTGCTTGCTGTATCATTTCAGAAAAGTCAGCCTCCTTCTTCATTTCTTTGTCTCTTTTAAAATCTTCCCAACAAAAGCAAATTATTTTACAGCTGTTTTATAATTGAACTGAACTTCACCTTCAACACTGCTTGTGCAATTCTTAGTGGCATATCTTGCTTTACTGTGCTCTAAAATACAGCTGTCTTGTTAGACCTGGGCTCAAGGGTGGCTTAAGTTATGGAATTGATTACTATCAGACAAGAAGACAACCAAGATGTCTACCAGGACACAGAGAGAACTGAATTAGTATACACTGTCAGTTTGCTTCTCCTGATACAATCAGTTTACTTCTCCTCCTTGAATCCCAAAAATAGCACCTCAAAGACTACTTTACATTTTCAAAGTATTCTACAACATCCACAAAAATCTTTAGTACTTCATATATGGAATCGGTCAAGAAATTTTACATGTAAAAGTATAAAAACCAATCAATAATATATGACACAGAGTTTCTCTAAATTATTATTTTCTCTACGGTCAGCCCTCCTGCCAATTTCATGTTTTCCAACTGCTCAATTCTCATACAGTGACTGGGACATGGTAGGTGTTCAATACATGTTAGCTAAAGACCAAATAAAAGAAATATATGGTGGCTAAATAGGAGTATGCCGCCTCAATACTCTTCTTCCTGGAACCCAAAAATCAGTCAGTAATACAGGTGGTCCCCAGCTGATCTCTGCTTTGATAATCCATAATTGCTTTTTGCAAGCAGTGGTCTCCGCCCTTATCTAGGCCCTAACTCCAGAATCCAGCCAAGCCCAGGTGGGAAGGGAAAGAAGCCCTGGAAAGAGCAAGAGGAAAATGATGGTTCTTGCCAGAGTTGATGAAAAACCTGTCTAAACACGTTTCCATTGTAAAAACAGTCCCATTCTAGAGTTATACCTAGAGTCACCACATTCAACCAGTGACACACTGTTTTCTGTTGGTTCCTTTCCTGCTAAACTGCTTTCACTTGGCAAAGCTCTTCAACCAGGCGAGATCATTACGTGCGATGAGACATCATGAGACACTAAAAATCTCTTAAGGACCTTTTTTACCTGCTCTGGTGATCTGTAAGTTAAAAATTAATGATCAGCATCATCTTGGATATTAGCTGTGACCTGAAACATAGCTTTGTATCATGTATCCAGAAAAAAAAAAATGATAACCTAATTCCTCTTTGTCTTGACTACTAGAATATGAATGGCGGAGAAGCCTTCTCCATATCCGGTAGTTGTGTTTTGAAGGAGAGGTGAGGAAGTGATACGTGTATCCTTCCTGTATCCTATATAATGTGGACTACACACTTGGGTAGTTGTGTATATATTCAATGTAGCTAAATACGAGTTAGCTAAACCAGGAAGTGGCAATATTGTTCTCAATATTGATGTATTGACTTTGATGTATGCCTTGGAACATGTCCAAAGGGGTATGACCAAGAGAGTGAAGGATTTGCAAGCCATACATAAAGAAATGGATGAAAGTAGACTCTATTTGGCCCAGAAAAGGGAAAATGTAAAGAGAATTAGTGACTGACCTCAGATACTTGAAGAATCAGT